GGAAAGAGGAAGAATTCCTTTCCTTTCTGGGTGGCCTGTCTTCCACCACCAGTGGGATACCTTTTCTTTTTTCATGGTCAAAAATACCGTTTAAAATAATTCAGGAATGAGCACCACTAAGTAAAAATTTTAAACTTATGCCTAGAAAAGAGACTGGAAGACGTTGCCCTGAAGGTTGCAGGGGTTAACTTTTGGGAAGTGGTTTTGCTTCTCAATTTTATACCTTCCTATTCAGTTTTTTTGAAGGTTCCATAGTGATTAATGGTAGTTAACATATATTGAGCATTTATGTGTCAGGCATTGTTCTAAGCACTTGTATGAGGAAAAGTATTGATTTGTCCCCATTTTTCGGATGAGGAAACTGAAGCTAAGATGGATTAAACAATCAGTGTGTGGTCATACAGAAGCAGGTCTGGAATTTGAACACAGATACAGATGTGCCTGGATTGAAAGGCATGAAATAAACTAGCCTCTACTGTCCCTTTTATAATGGTGGTGAGGGGAAGGGAACTTTGTTTTACTTGTAAATAAATGACAATTTTAAAAAGCTAAGAAACTAAAGGAGGTAGATAGGCAGACAGATGATAGGAAGAAAGAAATAGATCTTCACCAAACCCCCAGGCCACCATGAGCACAGTGTGTGTATGCGTGTGTGTACGCATGGGCCCGGGTGGGTGGGTGGGAGAGTAATGTCTTTAAGAACCCAGAAAATATATACTGTGTTACAGAGAGACCTCCACAACCTCAAAATGGCAGCAAAGATCCTATTTGTTAAGTGAATAAATTGTCCATTTCCTAGCCAGTAAACTTGAGGTCTAGAGCAAGGGGTGGCAAGCTATGGCCCGTGGGCCAAATCCAGCCCACTGCTCGTTTTTGTAAATAACGTTGTATTGGAACCTGGCCAGACCCATTCCTAAAGTCTTTTTCACAGAGTTGTGACAGAGACCATGTGGCCTGCAAAGCCACTACTATCTGTCTCTTTACAGAAAAAAATTTAAAGTTGCTGCTATGTAGGATGAATAAGTCTAGAGATGTAAGGTACAGCATAATGATTGTAGTTCATCACACTGTACTGAACACTGGAAATTTCCTAAGGAGTAGATTTCAGGGGCACTCACCACACACAAAAGGTGACCCTGTGAGGAGATAATATGTTAATTAGTTTGACTGTGATATCATTTCACTATATATATGTATATCACATCATCATGTTGTACGCCTTAAATACAAACAATTTTTCTTAAAAAAGAGAATTTTTTAGAAACTTTGCTTACCCCCATCTAGAGCAATGCTTCATAACATTAATGTACTCCCTGGGGATCTAGTCAAAATGCAGATTCCGATTCAGCAGGCCTGGGGTGGGGCCTGAGGTTCCGCATTTTTAACGAGCTCCGAGGAGATGCCGATGCTGCTGGTCCGTGGACCACACTTGGGAATGAGCGTGTCACAAATACTTTACATGTTTCCATCCAGAGAGGGGGCGTGAACCAACTTACCAAAACCTCCAGCCATCACATATTGTATTATCAACACAGGTCATTTAGGAGGTTTATTTGCCAAATCAAAGGCTCCTCCACTTTTCAAAAGTATTTCCAGCGGCCTGTGTCTGACGACCCTCCTTTTCCCCCTGGTTCATTCACGCAGAGGGTGTTTGATTTCCATGACAGCAGGGGCCTCTAAAGTACAGTCAGCACACCAGATGATGGGGAGTGGGGAGAAAGCCTTCCAACTTTCTTCCACTTTTATAGTTTGTATCAACTTTTTAAAAAAGTCAGTTTGGGGGAGGGCTGTTTTATAACAGACACGATGCACATCACTTATATAATAAACATATGTCATTTATAAATAAATAAATGTGCATGTTCTGGAGTGCATCAGCACAAAGCTTTGAGACAACGGGTAGACGTGAGTTACGCCATGGCTGAAACTGGGCCTGGGCTGTGCTCGTAGCCTGAGTCAGGCCTTGGCAGGCTTTCAGCCCCGTGTGGGCCTGCAAAACATACTGCGTGGGCACGTGTTTTATTCCTCACAGGCACAGCGGCAGGTGCTCCAGAGAGAAAGTGAGCGACTGGGACACGCTTGAGCCCTTGTGAATGCCAGCCACACGAAGTGTCAGGGCACCTGGCTGAGCATTTCGGGAGAGAAAGGAGGGAGTGTGCAGGGAAAAGCCAGGAAAAGACCTGCACTGGGTCAATGACAATCATAGCAAAATTTGCTGTCAGGTATTCAACACCTACTACTAGCCAGCTTCTATGCTAAGTATTACAAATTATTACATTTAATCTTTGTGAGGTAGGTACTGTTATTATCCCCTTTTTATAAAAGAGCAGAGTGAGGCTCAGAGAGGCAGAGGATACACACAAAGACTGATTTTTCGAGGTATCAATTCATAAATACAGTGAGATTCCAATGAAACACAGCGGATCTATTTTAACTTTGAACACGCTAGAACTGTACACTAATGATAACGTTTGCTTCTTTTCGGTGAACACTTCCTGTGTGTCGAGAACCTTCTATCGGCACATCCTTTAACCTCCAAGAGACCGTGCAGGAGATGAGGCGCCTGCCCTTCCTCCTCGCTGCGGGGAATCCAATGCCCTGGAGCTGGGCCGACACCTTGGGGTCCCGCTGAGCCGAAGCGCTGAGGCCCCGCCTGCAGGGGGAGCCCTTTCTCAGCTCCACGTAATTGTTCCCATGTGCAAAGGAGGCCTAAGTCTTGTCAGATCTTCAGATTCTCAGCAGAGGCAGAAATCTCGACTTATACTTAAAATCTCCTGATCTTACACCCCGACAACGAATTTTTAGAAATTTTAAAACACAGCATGGACCCAACACATCACATCCACGGGTGAGCTCGCTTTGGCCCAGGAGGCCTCTGCCCTAGATGCTGACTTGTATTTTTACCTTCTGGTACCATTTCCTCCTGGGGCTCCGAGATGCTTTATCTGCTGTGTCAGGCAGGGACGTGCGCGCTGCTATTGTCCCATCTTACAGAGTCTCAAGGGAGGCAAGCACGTGCCCAAGGCCACTCGGTGGCTCGGAAGCAGGGCTGCGCTTCCTCTGAGTTCTCCGAAGGGGGCCGGCCAGGGGCGGCTTTCAGGCTGTCACTCTGAGCTGGCCGCGGCCGTGCAGGGAGGAAACAGGAGTCAGGGGAGGGGCGGGGGAGGAGACTGGGGTCTCCCCAGTCCTGAGCTCTGGGCAGGAGAGCCATCCGGACCCGAGCTCCGCGGCAAGGCCTCGCTCCTCTGCTCAGGCCGTGAGGTGGCTTTCCCGGCCCAGGATGCAGAGGTGGGGACTGTGTGCCGCGGCCGTCCTGACCCTGCTCTCCGCACAGGCCTTTCCGCAAACGGACATCAATATCAGCCCAGGTGAGCACGGGGCCGGGGCCGGGAAGAGAGGAGGACACCCCGCAAATGCTTGAGCTGTCAGTGAGGCCTCGCTGCCTGGGCTGCAGGCCTGCCTGACCCAAGGAATGCTGGGGGGGGGGGCCAAGCTGAGCCTCCTGACAGCCCCTCCAGCTGCTCTCCCTCCAGCTCACGCGCATTGTGCTAGGGCCAGCCGCAAAGAGACCTGGTGATAAATCCCAGCTTTGCATCTCAAAAGCTGTATGACCTGGCACAAGTTTCTTAACCTCTCTGAGCCTCAGTTTCCTTCAGAAAACGGTGGTCACAATGGCACCCTCTGGGGCTACTGTGCAAGGGAGATGAGAAAATCTGGGGAAAGTGCCTGGCACCACAGGAAGATCTGAAGACGGTATTTTTGTTAGGGATTTGGCATCTGGGCTCCGCAGTCCCACCTTGGCTGTGACAGCTGTTCCCAGGGAGCTGGGCATGCAGGAGGGCATAGCTGTCCCTCTAGTGACCTCCCTGGCGGCCTGGCCCAGTGACACCCAGCTCTGCGGATATTCAGTGTCCCCAGGGATTGGGATCCATCAGCCTCGGGCATGTGGCCTCCCAGTGTCCCACTTGGAGGACGCGGGGCTTCAAATGAGCTCAATTTCTTCACCCTTGCAATAGGGAGGCTAGAGTGCTGACTCTGGGGTAGGAAGAATCCTGAGCCCTTCAGTCCCTTCAAGGTGGAAGATCCTGTCTGTCACCTCTACCGGGAGGGTTCTTTCCAAACATGGTTTAAAAGCTATAATAATAATACCAATAACAACAATTGATACTTTTTTAGCCCTCACTATATGCCAGGCACTGTTTTAAGCACTTTTTACATATGGATTTATTTAATCCTCACAATAACTCTATGGCAGAGATACTATTTCTATCCCCATTAAAATAAAAATAACACTGTAATAAAACATCTGTAAGAGCCCCATAAAGCCATGTTATTGGGCAGTTACAGTGTTGAGGGGAATTTAAATAGTGGGGTGATAAGATTGCAAGATAAAATACCTGATGTCCAGATAAATTTGAATTTCAGATAAACAAATCATTTTTTACTGTGTCTCGAATATTGCATGGGACATACCTTATGCTAAAAATTATTTCTTGTTTATCTGAAATTCAAATTTAACTGGGAATTCTTTTTTTATTTTTTTAATCTGGTAACCCTAGTGATGGGAGATAAAGGGTGGTCAGTTCATTTGGGCAAGCATCAGGGGCTCTGGTCTGCCATAAACTCTCTGAGTGTCTGTATTAGTCAGCTCGGCTGCCATAACAAAATACCGTAGACTGGGTGGCTTCAACAACAGGAAAAGTTCTGGAGACTACAAGTCCAAGATCAAGATGCCACCTGATCCGTTACCTGGTGAGGGCCCTCTTCCCGGCTTGCAAGTAGCCACATGGTGGAGAGAGAGAGTGCTCTTGTCTCTCTTCCTCTTCTTACAAGGGCACTGATCCCATCATGGGGGCCCCACGACTCCATCTAACCCTAATCACCTCCCAAAGACCCCATGAAAACACCATCACATTGGGTGTTGGGGCTTCAACATGGGAATCTGAGGGGCACACAAACATTCAGTCCATAACAGTGTCTTTGCCTGCTTGCTCTTGTGCCTCAATATCCTCATCCGTGCAATGGGTGAGCAGGAGAGAAGTTGGACAGAATATCCTTGAAAGATATTTGTGTGTTCCAAGATCTTGCCTTTCTTCCCAGCATAAGAGGAAAGTCCTGAGGCTGAGTTTGAGAGTGGGAGCGATGGGGGGTCCTCTCTCTCTCACTAGCTTGTGACCGTGGGACCTTTCTCTAAGCTTCAAGTTTCCTCCTGTGGAAAGTGAGGATGATAATGGTGTCCGTCAAACGTTTGGGGGAATCTTCAATGAGATGATGCAAGTGAAGCACTTAGCGCATAGAAAGCACTTGAAAAATGGCTTCTTACCTTACTACTCCTGCCACTGTGGTTGTTGATGTTATGATAGAATTGACCAGGAGACACAGTTTTCTGCTGTGACAAAATGCCTTCAAAAGGGAACTTCCAGACATCTAGCCCCATGCCTCAGTCCCACTCTACATATGCGGAGACTGAGATCCCTTCCAACCCAGCAACTTTGGAGACCTCAGAGTTGGAGTTGGAAGGAAGGGTCCCGGAAATCCACTTGGCCCAATCCTTCCACAATACAGCTGTGGAAACTGAGGCCTACAGAGGCCAAATAATCTGGCCAAGGTCATCATCCATCCAGTCCAGCAGAAAGCCCAGTTCAAGCCTGAGTGGATAAATCTGCTAGAGGAAAGTGATTGCAATGCAGAAGAGAACGTGTGAGTTGAGTGTGTGTGCGTGTGTCAAGTGGGTGTGAGTGTGCGTGTTGATGTGTGACTAGGGAAACCTTATCTGTGGTCTTGGTGAGCCCTTGGCAGACCATGAAGGTGGGCACACAACCATAGCCCTCCTTACTGAAAGTGGGCCTGGTTCTTCCTGTCCTGCATCCAGAGCCTTTAGGTACAAAACAGAACAGGGTCATTCCATCCTTCATCCCACTGTTCTGGACCTTTCATGAACATGCAAATATACGCAAATAGTGCAACCCAGCCTTACCCTTAGATCTGCTTTGGAAACAAACCTTTAGACACTTCTGAAAGACTGGGAAGGATTTAGCCAGACTAGATCCTTTTCCTAAAACCCTTCTCTGAACCTGGCTTTGATCACTTTGGTTACGTGGATTAACAAATATTCAGTGCTTAAAAGAGAGCCTGGCACCTGGTAAAAGCTACATAAATATTTGCTGTTATGATTTTTCAACCATAACCATAAAAAAGTTTCCTTTCCCTGGCTCCTGAGCCCAAGAACTTTCCACAGCAAAGGAAATTCTAGCAAAGCGTTTTGATGCTCAGGGCCTGCTTCTGCAGGGCTTCAGGGGTGGGAAGGGAGAATCAGTCAAGTTCCGTAGCCTCTTCCTCTCCCCTCCAAGAAGCTGGCATTGTGCACTCAGCACCAGGATTATTCCAGGGCCCAGGCTGTTTCTGTTGTGATAGCTCATGTTTACTAGAACACTAGTATAAGCCAGGCACTGGCTTCCCTGTGAAGTAGGCACTATCATCATGCCCATTTTACAGATGAGGAAACTGAGGCACAAAGAGGTGAGTTCCTAACTGGAGTCATCTAACTCCAGAGTCTAAGCTCTGAGGCTGGAGCACAGAGGCTTGGGCAACTGGGTGTCCCTACTTCCTAGAGTACACCCTTCCCCACCCACCAGTCTGTATCATAGAGTCAGATCCTAGAGTACCCCCGCCTGGACACTCTAACCCATTCCCTACCCCTCCTCTATGGTCACAGAACCCTCTGCATATTTCTAGAATGTCCCTTAGTATATGAGGACTCATTGCCATGTGTGCTATGCATTCCTCCCTCCAGACTGTGAGCAACTTGAGGGCACAGACCTCAAGCCAAATAAGCACCCAGGAAACACTGAATTATTACTTAATTATGTTGGTCTTAGTTAGCTCAGGCTGCTGTCACAAAATACCATAGACTGGGAGGCTTAAACCACAGGAATTTATTTCTCACAGTTCTAAAGCCTGGGAACTCCGAAATTAAGGTGTTGACCAATTCAGTTCCTGATGAGAGCTCTTTTCCTGGCTTGCACATGGCCACAGGAAGGAGAGCTCTGGTCTCTCCTCTTCTCCTAAATGGCACTAACCCCATCATGGGGGTCCACCCTTATGACATCATATAACCCTAATTTCCTGAAGGCTCCAGCTCCAAATGCCATCACACTGGGGAGTAGGGCTTCAACATATGAACTGGAGGGGGACACACAAACATTCAGTCCATAATGCTGTTAAATTGGATGTTTAATATATTTGTCTTGCCAAATGAGAAAACCAAGACCAGAAAAAGATGTTTTCTGGAGGCACTGTAGTGCTTAGGAATTTTCAAGTCCATCAGACCTTAATCTCATCCTGACACTGCCACTTGCTAGCTGTGGGAGTGAGTGACTTAACAGATTTGAGCCTCAGTTTCTGCACCTATAAAATGGGGATTATACAGATACCCCTCCCAGTTTGGTCTCGATGGTTATATTAACCACGCAATGAATGGCCACTGTTATGAGCAATATAAAAAATCACCCAGTGCTGTCTCCTCTGTATCATGTGACCACAAAAGCAGCCTGGAAGGAGGGAAAGCAAAGCTGAGGCATGAGAGGCCTGGGACCAGCAGTTCTGCATCCCAGAGCCAGGGCTCACTGGGAAGGACCCACTGAGGGTGGGATGTGTGGACCAGGGAGACAACAGGCAATGAAGGTGACTGAGACCTCCCAGTGGCCACCTTCCCAGACACTGGGAGACACTTCCGACCCCCTGGGACATCTGGGGCCCAGTAGTGACGGGGGGGGGGGGGGGGGGC